TCTCTCTCTCTCTCTCTCTCTCTCTCTCTCTCTCTCTCTCTCTCTCTCTCAAAAATAAATTAAAATATTAAAAAAGATTTTAAAAAGAGAGAGAGAGAAACTTGATAATTACAGAAGTCATCAGGCCAAAGCAATCTTAAGAAAGAAAAACAAATCTGAACCTATTACATTTTCTGATTTCAAATAATATTACAAAACTGGGTGGGGATGTGGTTTAAATAGGTGACAGGGATTAAGGAGTGAACTTGTTGTACACACTGGATGATGCATGGAAATATTGAATCACTATATTGTACACCTGAAACTAATATTACACCAAATGCTAACTAACTAGAATTTGAATAAAAACTTAACAGAAACTATATCGCAAAGCTATAGTAATCAATACAGTATAATATTCACATTAAAAACAGACACCTAGGGGTGTCTGGTGGCTCAGTTGATTAAGCATCCAACTCCTGATTTCAGCTCAGATCATGATTTCACAGTTTGTGAATTTGAGCCACACATTGTGCTCTGCACTGACAGTGTGAGCCTGCTTGGGATTCTCTCTTTCCCTCTCTGCCTCTCCCCTGTCATCCTAACTCTCAAAATAAATAAGTAAACATTTAAAAACGTTTTTAAAAAACCATAAAGATCAATGGAACAGAATAGAAAACCCAGAAGTAAGACCATGAATATATGGTCACTTGATTTATGATAAAGGAGTCCAAAGTATACATTGGGGAAAGAATAGTCTGTTTAAAAAATGGTGTTGAGAAAAGTGGACAGGTGCATACAAAAGAATGAAACTGGGCCACTTTCTTTCACCACACACAAACATTATTAAAAATGGATTTGCATGTAGTACCTGAAACCATAAAATTCCTAGAAGAAAACCTGAAACCATAAAATTCCTAGAAGAAAACAAGGAGCTCCTTGACATGGGTCTTGTTGATGATTTTCCAGATTTTAAAGCAAAAGCAAAGGCAACAAAAGTGAAAATAAGCAAGTGGCACTATATCAAACTAAAAAGCTTCTGCACAGCAAAGAATATTATCAACAAAATGAAAAGGCAACCCACCAAATGCAAGAGAATATTTTCAAATCATAAATCTGATAAGAGGTTAATTATCCATAATACAAAGAACTCACATAATTCAAAAGAAAAAAAAAACAATTCAATTTAAAATGGGTAGTTGACTGGCTCAGTTTGTTAAATATGTGACTCTTCATTTCAGATGTGTGAGTTTGAGTCCCATATTGGGTGCAGAGATTACTTAAAAGTAAAATCTTTAAAAAAAAAAAAAAGGCCAAAGATCTAAAAAGTCATCTTTCCAAAGGAACATATAGATGGCCAATGGGTCCAAGGAAAGGTGTTCAACATCACTAATTATCATGGAAATGCCAATCAAAATCATGAAGAGAGATCATCTCACACTTGCTAGGATGGCTATTATCAAAGATAAAAAATAACAAGTGTTGGCAAGGATGTGGAGAAAAAGAAATCCTTATGCACTGTTGGTGGAAAGATACATTGGTGTAGCCACTATGAAAAACATCATGAAGGTTCTTGAAAAAATTAAAAATTAAACTACCATATGATCCATCAGTTCCACTTCTGGGCATTTTTCCAAAAGAACTAAAAACACTAACTTGAAAAGTTTATGTCACTCCATGTTTGTTGCAGTATTCTTTACAATAGCCATGTGTCTGCATGTTCCTATTTACAATAGCAATCTAAGTGACCCTTGATGAATGAATGGATAAAGAAGATGTGGTGTATACATAAAATGGAATATTAGTCATACATTAAAAAAAGGATATCTTGCCACTTGAGATAGCATGAAAGGACCTTGAAGGCATTATGCTGAGAAAAATAAGTCAGAGCAAGACAAACATCATATGACCTCACTTATATGTGGAGTCTAAAACAATACAAGAGCATAACCAAACCAAAAAACTGAACTCCTAGAGAAATCAGATTGGTGGTTGCCAGAGATAGTTAGGGTGAAGGTGGTCAAAAGGTACAAATTTCCAGTTATACAATACATAAGTACTGGGGATGTGATGTAAAACTTGGAGACTATAGTTAATAATACTGAATTACATATTTCAAAGTTTCTAAGAGAGTAGATCTTGAAAGTTCCCATCACAAGAAAAATAATTGTAAATCTGTGGTGATCGATAGTAAGTAGACTTCTTATGGTGATTAGTTTGCAATATATACAAATATCAAATCATTAAGTTGAACACCTGAAACATTATGTTATATGCCAATTATATTTCAATAATTTTTTTTGTTTTAAAAAGAAATTCAGTAAAGGAAGGCTCTATGATGCCAAATAATATGTCCCATGTTTGCAACTAAGTATTTGACTCAGTCAGGTTTTAACATATGGAAAATCTTTAGGCTTTCAGAGTTAGAAATTACTTTTAGAATTTAGTGAAATGCAGGCTCTGCCTAGAAAAAAAAGAGAAATCCACCCATGCACTTATCCATAAAAGTCCACGTATAATGCAAGAAGTTTTCACGGGCTCCCCCCATCTTCAGCCAATTCCTTAAGGATCCATGAATCCCAGGTTCAGGACCTCTGCTGTAGAAGAAACCAGATAAAACAGGAAATAAGAAATCTAAGAGATCAAAATTCTGGACAATACTAGAGACTCAGAAGATGGCCCACAAGCTAGACATCAAGGGATCATGAACCAGAAAACTCATTAAGACTGAAGGATAGGGCATGGCTATCATCTTACTCTCAAGATACCAATTTCACATAACCTATGACCACACAAAAAAATAATAATCCAAAAGATAAGAAGTGACAAAGATGCCCCACCTCCTTACCTCTTCCTTCTCCAAATAGACTATCCACCAGTCACAAGACAACAACAACAAATCTTTAATAATCAGAAAACCTTACTATCCTATTCAAAAATCCCCTTATACTTTCTAAGACATCAGCCAAATCCAGGGCATGACCATTCTGAGGCTTTGAGGGCAGGTAAATGGACTGCAGTTAAAGTCTATTAGAAGTTTCATAAAAAGATATAATAGTGGTTGTTGACAAAGGGGAATGAAAGCAAATATATGGGCAGGTACGGCCACCAGGATAGGGGTAGAGACTAGATTTAACTTACAACTGTATTAGTTAGGATTAGTTAGGTTTAGCTATGAGAAATATAAATTTAAAATAACAGTGACTTAAACTTGTTAGAATTTAATATGTTTATTATTGACTTATTTTGAGAGAGGGAGCATGCACTCATGCACCTGAGTGGGGAAAGGGCAGAGGGAGAGAGAGAATCCTAAGCAGGCTCTGCGCTCAGTGTGCACAGCGCCACATGCAACTCTCCATCTCATTAACAGTGAGATCATGACCTGAACTAATATCAACAGTGGGAAGCTCTAATGACTGAGTCACCCAGGCATCCCAATTATTTTTTCTCTCATAAAGACTGGAGGTTAAAACAAACAACTATTCAGGGCTAAATGGTGTTTTCATGATTGCCCATCTCCTCCCGTCCTGTTA